TGGCAATGAAACGATAAACGATAGGATGAATGTAAAACTAATGTTCTCCCATGTAAACTATCACATAATTCACAATAAAACATAAAACAAAAAAAACAGGCAGTCAATTTTTTGCCTAATGACATGTATTCTTTGTGAAGTTTAGTCATATTTGAAAGTATTACATTTTCTTTTAATTTTTATTGTGATGTAATTTTCTGATTTTGGAAAAGTTGGAATGGTGGTATAAAGAATTACTTATACCTTTCACCCACATTCTTTATATTAACATTTTAACAGTATTTTCTGAGTCCCTTCTGTCTCTCTCAAAACACATTCTACTGCCACCACTATATACTTGTTTTCTAGCTGTTTGAAAGGGATTTGCAGGCATGATACCTCTTTTCCTCTAAATACCTAGAAACAGTGTAAATTCCCTTACATTGCTGTCAAGTCATATACAACAGGACACCCAGTCATGCACCATCTTCATGACCATTGGAATGTTCCAATCCACTCTTGGGTCCACTGTGTTCTAAGTGCCTTCCAACTCACCTTGCAGCACTGTATCAGAAGGTCCACAGAGTTGAGGTCCTCTGAGTTTTCATTGGCTAATACTTGGAAGTAGACTGCTCCTTGCAAAACTGAATATGAAAACTGAATGTTTTACAATTAAAAAAGGTGTGCGACAAGGTTATATTCTTTCACCATACCTATTCAACCTGTATGCTGAGCAAATCATCCGAGAAGCTGGGTTCTATGAAGAAAAACGTGGCATCAGGATTGGAGGAAGACTCATTCACAACCTGCGATATGCAGATGATACAACCTTGCTTGCTTAAAGTGAAGAGGACTTAAAACGTTTACTGATGAAGATCAAAGAGCACAGCCTTCGGTATGGGTTACATCTCGATGTAAAGAAAACAGAAATCCTCACCACTGGACCAGTAAACCAACATTCTTGTCAATGGAGAAAAGATTGAAGTTGTCAAGGACTTCATTCTTCTTGGACCAACTATCAACACTCATGGAAGCAGCAGTCAAGAAATCAAATGACTTATTGCATTAGGCAAATCTGCTGCACAAAACCTTTTTAAAGTGTTGAAGAGCAAAGATGTCATCTTGAGGACTAAGGTGTGCCTAACCCAAGCCATGGTATTTTCAGTAGCCTCCTATGAATATGAAAGCTGGACTGTGAATAAGGAAGAATTGATGCTTTTGAGTTATGGTGTTAAAGGAGAATATTGAAAGTGCCATGGGCTGCTAAAAGAACCAGTACATCTGTTTTGGAAGAAGTGCAGCCAGAGTGCTCCTTGGAGGCCAAGATGGCCAAACTTCATCTTTCATACTTCGGACTTATTGTTAGGAGGACCCCCAACAAGATGGATTTACCAAGTGGCAGCATCGATGGACTCAAGAGTGGTAACAGTAATGAGTTGGCCCAGGATTGGACAGTGTTTTGTTCTGCTGTGCATAAGGTTGCTATGAGTCAGTACTGACTCAATGGCACCTAACAATAACTACAACATTACTCTGTTGATCTTTCTTGCCTGATCAGTTAAGAATTCTGGTTGCCTAATGGTGACTTTTTAAACTCCACTGCAAGATCACTTTGAACCTTAAGGTCAGCAGTTCAAACTCACCAGCTGCTCCTTGGAAACGCTATACAGGCTCGCTATGAGTTGGAACTGACTCAGAGGCACTTAACAAGAACAATTATTCCATCTACACAAACTAGTTGACTTTTTACTGTAAGGAAGACCTTTTATTTTTGTCTTTATTTAATTATTTGTAGTCAGTGTAAATTAATGGAGTCTTATTTTATTCAGTGGAGTATAATATCTTAGCATCATTATTTACTTTGATGATAAAATTGTCCCTGATGTCGCACTTGGGAGCCCCATCCAGCTGTCTTCTGTGCCCTTTTCACAGATGCTTTTCATGTTTACCGAGTACTCCTTTAATTGTTTGTATATAAGTTTGTTCCAGATTCATTTTGTACTTTCTCGACTTTATCCTGCAACCAGCCATTTCTCTACAGAGCAGAACCCTGGGTCTTTTCAGTGAACAGTGGTAGTTCTTCACTGATGTTGGGACACTAGTAATCTTTATCATTGGCGTGTTCTGGTGTGGCACGGTAGGATAAGCACTGGACTGCAAAGTTGGTTTGAACTGCAGGGTTGATGGTTCAAGCTCACCAGCTGCTCCTCAGAAACGCTATACAGGGTCGTGATGAGTTGGAACTGACTCGATGGCACCTAACAATAACATTACTTCTAGGTCCTCATACTCAATGAACTTGGAGAAATATATACATATTTCATATACACATGCATATGTGAATGTATACACACATACATATCTGTCCCTATGTCTGTATAATGATAAAAATAATGAGTTCTTACTGACACTTCCAATTCAGTGCAGTATCACAGAGTTCATTCTGTGCTTCCTCCATTCCATATTTGTAGCTCCTTTTTCTGACAGTGAAATCGTAGCCTCCACATAGAAACCTTTTGAATCCTTAGAATGTGAGTCATCAGAGATCTACGTAGCTGTTGTGACTCTTAAATGAACTGTTTTTCAAATGTCATTTTCAGGGTCATAATCGTATCATTGCCTACAGTAGACCAGTTTATTTCTGTTTGTGCTGTGGTCTTATTTGGCTCTTGGATTATGGTAGCAGAAACATGACTTCAACCAAGTTCAAATTATATGGAATAACTTTTACCAACCCACTGGTACTTATATCAGCCAGGGATTTAGTTATAGGTAAGTCATTTTTAAAGGTTCTTAAATCTTAGATTAATGTATTTGTATACGTACACTTCACTGTTAGATTATATAGGCAATAATAGCGTTGATAAACTGATTTTGTTATTTTTATCATCTCAGTGAGAAACAAACTGTAGGTCTAGTAGAGTGAAAAAAAGCTAATTTTAAGCAAATATTGCAGTAATTATTTGGTTTTGAAGCAATTGAAATAGTAGATTTCCTGTTACATTCTTTGTCTCAAGTTCCTATTGTGTCAAAATGATTTTAAAAGGTATTTATATCCATACCCAATCAATTATATAGAAAGGTGAAATGTTTTTTAAAGAGACTTAGTAGTTTATATTAATTTTGGATCCCTTTTTATCATGTTTTACAGTTTTTAAATTAATAAAGTATATAGTATGATGTCTTTAATAATACTTTTCTTTCCTTCTATAGTGTTTACACTTTGTTTCCCAATAGTATTTTTCATTGGTCTCCTGCCTCAGGTGAATACATTTGTAATGTACCTTTGTGAGCAATTGGATATTCATATATTTGGTGGTAATGGTGAGTACTTCTTTTTAAAAATTGCTCACAGCAGTATTGCTCTTGCAGATCATGAAGCAGTACACTGAACATTGAAATACTTGCATGGTTTCATGTTAGTATTGAAATTTGGGGGGAAAAGGCACTTATTTAATAATTGAATAGCAATTAATTTAATTTGTAAGTAGGAAAAAGTAGTCATTTTCTACCTTAATGAAATATCCAGGTATATTTCATGAGAGTCCTGGTGTGGCACTGTGTGTTACTGTGCTGAACTGCAACGTCAGATTGAACTACAAGGTTGGCTATATAAGGACCAAACTGATTTTACCTGATTTTGCCTACCTAGAGACTGCTTGACTAAACTCTAGTCAGGCTCAGGAAAGCATTTTAAATAGACAAGGCCTCAGTTTTTAGTTCCCTCCAGAGACAAGGTCAATCTCCATTCTGTACATTAGCCTGAACACATCCTCTAGCTCCAAGAAAATGATATATGTATAAATAGCCAGGCAGCTCAAGGCCAGAGGCCAGATGTTTTCCTTTACCCTAGCCTAAGAACAAAGACCACCAGTCCTGACCAATTAAACTGTAACATCTCATAGTTTGCCAATTGTTAACCAATCCAAAGATTGTAAAGCTGAGAAACCTGAGCTGTTTGAAAACTCTATAAAAACCCTGCAGACAATGAATTCAGGGCTCTTGCCCTATTCCGATGCTTCGGATAAGGTTAGAGACCTGGCTCGAGCTTGAATAAACTTCCCTTATGTATTTGCATTGGTACACGGCTCCTGGGTAGTCTTTGGGGACACTGAATTCCGGGCATAACAGCTATTCAAGCTCACCATTGCACCTCAGAAACCCTATACAGGGTCACTATGGGCTAGATCCGACTCTATTGCACTTAACAACAGTATTCTTTAATTGGAATCAGTGTGTAACAAACAATAAAATATCATTGTCTAAAACTGAAAATTATAGTCAGTTTACATGGAACCTAAACAGACTTCTCAGGTACTTAGAAAAGTTCACCGACCACACATCCATTGAACTCTGAGACGTGGTATTATACTTGGATTTTGAACTGATGTGCACACTTAGCATGCTTATGTCTAAGGTTTTAAAACTGTTTTTAGAATAGGAACATCAAACCTAAAATCCAAAAGCATTTTACTAAATAAGATATTTAAAAGTATCTCTGTTTTTAGAGGATATCATGGATACAAATTGATAGTTAGAAAATCTGTTCTATCACTTGAGTATCATTTAGTTTAAAAATCAGTAAGAGCATACCGGTGTTACTATGAAATAAGAGCCTGAAAATAAGTACTTACTAATTCTCATTCATGTTTCTTACATTCCTTTGTCATCCTTCAGTTGTTATATACCTTATTGCCCTCATAGTTAAATGTATCATAGTTTAGTTTAGCCATGTAAAGTTTTATTGAAAGATTATATACAACTGGAGGAAAATGGGAAAGGGAAAGGTATTGCTAAAATTGTATTGCCCATTTCTTTTTACACTTCACATTTTCCGTCCTCATTTATCTTTTACAGTAGTAAGACACATACTGTCCACATATTTTGCACATGAATGAGGCAGTGGTCCTGTTGGCAGTGGCTAAATAGCATCCCCTTCCTTGAGGAGAGTCGCTGGGAGGTCTTTGGGAAGATGTACCTCAGGGCCCACATGCAGTCAGGTGCCTATATTCTTATGTGGCGTGAGACCCTTTAACAAAAAATTGCTGGGTATGGGAAGGGAAGAAAGAGGAGAAAGAAGCATCGAGAGAGTTTTTCATGCCATCCCAAAGTGAGCAGAACTGGACCTGAAGCCTCTTTCCAGGCTTTAGGTGCCCTCACAGGACATCCAGAGACTTGGTGGACTCCAGGCCTGAAGGGATGGTGAATTCAGGGCTTGCAGGGTTCTAGAGGAGACCTGGAGAAAGCTGCACATGGAAAGCTCTCTAACCCAGTACAGAAACACATGACCACTGAGTCAATTTAGACTCATGGCAGCCCTGTATAGTATTTCTGAGACTGTAAATACTTATGAGCATAGATCTTCATCTTTTTCCTGTGGAGTGACTGGTGGGTTTGAACTGCCAACCTTGTGGTTAGAAGCCCAACACTTAACCCACAGCACCAGCACAGGTGGAAGGTTAAGTGGTTAAGCCTTAAGGCCTCTAGTCAGTTAACCCAGATTCATAACTGGACTCGCCACAGTGATGAGCACAATAATGAATCTTAGCTCTTGCTGTTTTTAAAATCAGAAGTTCTAAATTAAAAAAAATCAGACAAATGGATGATCTGAAAACAGCAAAAAAAAATCCGCTGTTTTCACATACTGCCAGTTTTTATGTCACAGCCTGGTCTTTGGAAACCTCACCAAATCAGCAAGTGAGGAATAGGTTTATGATCATTGAAATCATCTGCTAGTTATAGAGCTTTGCTGCTGACCACCTGGGTCCACTTGTGAGTAGAAGTGGTGGGAATGCAGCAATGAAGACATGGGTGAGTTTGGCTATGTTCCTTTGGCACCCGTTGGCCTTCAGATGAGAGAGAGAAGAGGAAGGGTTGACTGGTCTGAAGTTTAGGAAGATGTGTGAAATCCTAAGCTCATGGGCCATGGAAGAGAAAGGTGGTGGATACTGAGAACAAGTGCAAATTGCTACATTTGATGAACAAGATTTTTGTCTATGAATGCAGTGACGCAAAATTCTAACTGGAATGGAAGGATTCTTCATATCAAGGAATAACTTTGTTTTCTCAGTGTACTTGGTTGATAGGGATAAGAAATTTACACATTGGCTATCAAAGATGGGGGAGCTACAAAGGCATGATGTGACTGACTTACAACAGGCTTTCATGACTGTGCTCAGTTGTAGAATGCGGGGGCGGGGGGAGAGAGAGAGAGACATAGAGATCAGAATGGATAAGTAAACAAGAGCTTTCAATGTGCTGTCTACAAGAGACATATCAAAAAGATGGAGACAGCCTAAATACCCATCAGCAGAAGATTGGCTGAACAAACTTTGGTACACACACACAATGGAATAACTGTAAAACATTGATGAATAATCTCTGAAACACCTCACAGCATGATTAAACCTGGAGGACATTATGCTTAGTGAAATTAGGCAACCACAAAATGACAAATAGTGTATGACACCAACTTTGTAAAAACTTAAAAATAAAAAGGTTTTCTTGTTAAAATCCATAATAGCTACGGGGTAGAAGGGAAAATTATTCACCGTCTACTGGTTGGACACATGTTAACACTGGTGACAGGGCAGGTAATATACAAGAGGGAGGTTAGCAGAAGAAAGATGAAGGTCAACAGGAAGCACAGGGAGGAATTCAGTAGATGAAGTGAATAGAGGTAAATCCTGTTAATTGTTAATACATGGAGGGGATTGCAATCATGTAATGAAGCAAAATATATGATTTGTTGAATGCAAAATTAATGATCTGCTATAATCCTTCACTCAATTCACAATAAAAAAGTTGGGGGGAAAAAGATACTATAGTTTAAATTTTAAGTAAGAACTAAGCTGTTTCTGTGTTGATGTGTATCTTGATCATTTTTAGTGTTTTGAAAAATTCTTAATGGGATGTGAATTGCGACAGGCTTAGTCTCATCAAGCAGCATCATTAATGGATAGAAAATATTACAGATGCTATGGTGCTGTGGGTTAATGCACTGGTCTGCAAAACCAGTTTGAATCTCAAGGTCCGATGTTCAAGCTCACCGGTCGCTCCTCGGAAACCGTATACAGGGCCTCTATAGATTGGAATTGACTCTACAACACTTAACAACAGCAGTCTTTATGGAGTCTTGGAGTAGCACTGTGAGTTAATGTGCTGGACTGCAAAGTTGGTTTGTACCACAGAGTTGGTGGTTCAAGCTCGCCAGCTGTCCTCAGAAACCCTATACAGGGTTTCTATGCGTCTTAACCGACTCGACAGCACTTAACAACAACAACATGTTAATCCAAATACTACCAGGAGGGTTTGGTGTGGTGCTGTGGGCTAATGCTTCAGACTGCAAAGTCGTTTGAACTGCAAGGTTGGTGTTTCAAGCTCATCTGCTGCTCTTTGGAAACCCTATACATGGTCGCTATGGGTCAGAATTGACTCGATGGCACTTAACAACAACAACCAGGAGGGTTTAGTGCAGGTAATTTATAATGGTGGGCTGTACTATACTATAATGTAGAACCTTATGCAAGGCAAGGCATTAGTTTTTTACTCTCTTGAGAAAAAAATTATTTTTTTGCTGTGGGTTTCTTTTATGACAACTATGCGAAATGACCATGAAAGAAAAAGCTCATTATCCATATTTTGAAAATAAAAGCTATTTCAGCCACCCCCATATTCCTTATTGTCAATAATCCCATTGGATCTATTTTTTTGTTGTTGTTGTTACTGTTGTTGTCATCTGTATTTGTATTTTTTTTACTTTTAATACTTTTTCTGACAATCAGCATTCGGGAAGACAGATTTATATCTGTGTGCAACACAGTTCTATTTACATAAACTAATAACCTTTCTTTGAATGCTTAATGCATTTCCTGATCCTTTTTAGATTTTTGTCAAGCTTCATTTTCCCATATTTTTTGTGTTATGTAAAGTCTTTGAAGCATAATTTTGTTGTATGCCATCACTGACTCATAGTGACCCTGTGTAGGGTTTCCAAGGAGTGGCTGATGGGTTTGAACCACCAATTGTGTGGTTAATACTCCAGTGTTTGTCCTGTAGTACCACACCAGGAAACATAATATAGGTATATTTTTTCCTGTTATAAGTGCCTTTTTATTGTTGCCAAGGTAAATATATCTTATTCTGGATCAAAGATTAAGGGTAACAAACCATGGTTTTTGTTGTTGTTGAGAGCCATGGAGTCGGTTCCGACTTATAGCAAACCTATACAGGATTTCCAAAAGAGGACTGGTGAATTTGAACTGCCAACCTTGGTTCAAACTAACCTTGGGGTCCAGTGCTTTATCCTACAGTGCCACACCAGGACACAAACTGTGGTCATTTCAAAATCTTTTGAAAGCACAGGATGATGCGATTGAATTCTTCAAATCAGAATGAACAGATACTTAATTATAATGTACATTTTGACATCTTAAATGCATTTTGATGAATTTTTAAGAGATGTTTTTACATAACTGCTTATAAAACTTTAATTTCTTCTTTTACTGTCTAGCCACAACAAGCCTGCTTGCAGCACTTCACAGTTTTATCTGTAGCATTGTGGCGGTAGCCCTGCTGTATGGACTGTGTTACGGCGCTCTAAAGGTTAGCTTTAAGGTTATATTTCAGCACCAAGCTTGGTTTTGAGTAATGATTATTATTGTTGTTATTTTGCTTTCTCATTAATTTCCATGGTCTTCATATGTTGAACATTAATCTCATTCTCTGTTGAATTTGAATGTAATTCAGCAGGTAATCATGAAAAGAAAATACTTTTTCAAGCAGTAGTCATAGGTTACTATTGTTGTTGTTGTTAAGTGCTGTCCAGTCTGGCCTGACTCATAACAACCCTGTATAGGATTTCCAAGGAGCGGCTGATGAATTTGAATTCCCGATCTTGCGATTCAAACCTATCTTTCAGTCTAGTGCTTCCAGGGCCACACCAGGACTCCAGGTTACTATTGTTGTTGTTAAGTGCCTTCGAGTCGGTTCCGACCCATAGCGACCCTGAACAGGGTTTCCAAGGCTGTAAATCTTTACAGGAGCAGAAAGCCTCATCTTTCTCCTGTGGAGCAGCTGGTAGTTTTGAACTGCTGACCTTGTGGTTTGCAGCCAGATTCGTAACCACTACGCTACCAGAGCTCCTTCCAGGTAACTATTAGAAGCAGATTATTAAAAATTAGGCTGGTCTAGGGTAGAGGTGGTGCTGCAGGTTAATGCGCTGGACTTGGACTGTAAAATCAGTTTGAACTACAGGGTCAGCAGTTCAAACTCACCAGCTGCTCCTCAGAAACCCTATATAGGGTCACTATGAGTCAGAACTGATTCGAAGGCACTTAACAACAACAAGAAGGATAGAGGTGATTTCATAATCACAGAATATAAAAATCTTGAATTTTTTGATTAAGAATTTATATAACTACTGTTTATATCTAGAGTCCTGATGTGACTCTGTAGGATAAGCACTGGCCTGCTAACTGTAAGGCCAGTGGTTCAAATCTGCTAGCTGCTCCTTGAATATACCCTAAAGGATCACTGTGAGTTGGAACCAACTCAATGGCACTTAACAAGAACAGTAGCCACTGTTTATATCAAATTTCTTAAAAACTTTCAAGAGCAAGTTCAAGGACTGCAATTTAAGATGTATTCTTATGAAAATTGGTGAACTGAAAATAAATGTCATTATTGGGTTAGAAATACCAGGGTGAACCAGATGAATCTTCTATTTTAAAATACTGTCACCAAATTGAAAACTAAATTAAATAAATTTTTACCCCTCAGATATGCTTCTGTTTTGTTGTTTCATGATTAACACAAGATAATCAGAGATTGACGGGGCTGAAAGGACTGCCAAGAGTGATCCAAAGCATCCTTGCCTGCCTTGTGTATTTAGTAGTAATTATGGAGTCCTGGTGTGGCACTGTGGGCTAAGGTGTCAGACTGCAAAGTCTTTTCAACTGCAAGGTTCAAGCTTACCAGCTGCTCCTTGGAAACCCTATAGAGGGTTGCATGGGTCGGAATCAACTTGATGGCACTTAATAACAACAACAACATGGAGCACTTAACTGTATGCCAGGTACCATGGTAAATGGCATTTCCTGTCATTTATAATTTAGCTGTGATTCACAAGTTAACCACTACTTCAATACAGAGTAATGAAAGCTGTGGAAACCGTAGTAAGGATACACAAAATAGGACTACTCGATTCAGCCTAAGGCAAATCAATATAATTTGTCAGGGGGCTAGCATTTGGTAATGATATTATAGGGTAGAAATATTTGAGGTAGTACATTTAAAAGTCCTCAAGAGAAGTACATAAAGTGTGAGAAAAGAATTGCTGATGTGAATTGACAAAAGAAAATGGGTGAAGATAGAGCCCTTGAAAATGACAATATTTTAATGTTGAATAAAGGAACAAGACCCACAAAGGAAACTGCAGAAGAAATAGTCAGTTGTTGTTTTTTTAAACTGAATCCAAATTCAGTTAACAGGATATTTATTTAACAAAAGCTGTTTCTCTGGAATTTTAGAGGAATCCCATTTAGCATGAGTCTAAGTTTGAACAGATATTAGGAAGTTTACTGTTTCTACAATTTAGCTGGAAAGCACATGATATGGAGGGTGTTTGTTTGTTTTCATGATCTGAGACTTGGGTGTTTTGAAAATGAGAGAGGGGCTGGGGAGAGGGGAGGGTAGGAGATGGGATAATTCGAGCTAAGCCCAGGAAAGAACTAGAGGCAATAAGATCCAAAATCCAGCGTCTCTTACATGCACCACCATTGTGGCATAAGTTTTCGATTTGTGTTTTGGGTCATGTTTTGGAAAGTGAGTCATTTAGAAAGTACAGTCATAAAGTTAACAAGTGCAGTAAATTTTCAATCCTAATTTAATTGTTAAGGAGCTCTGGTAGTGTAGTGGTTACGAATTGGGGCTGCGAACCGCAAGGTCAGCAGTTCGAAACTACCAGCTGTTCCACAGGAGAAAGATGAGGCTTTCTGCTCCCGTAAAGATGTACAGCCTTGGAAATCCTGTACAAGGGTCGCTATGAGTCGAAACTGACTCCATGGCACACAACAACAACAAAAACTTAATTGTTTACCTATAAAGAGCCCTTGGGTAGTGCAGATGTTTAAACACTATTAGCTGAAACGTTGGCAATTTAAATCAACCCCAGGCACCTAGAAGACTGACCTGGCAATCTGCTTCACAAAATCTTAAGGAGCAGTTTCAGTTCTTCTACACACACAGGCTCACCACCAATCAGAATTGACTCGATGACAAATAAGAACAACATTCTCTTAACTGTGCAGCAGAACTGTAAAATTTCCAGCTAGAATCCTATATCCAAAGCCAGACAAAATGACAAAATTTTTCTTCCTAATTTTTTCATTGCCGTGGAATTATTAGCATTAGGTGATTCTTGTGTTAAATTACCCCCTATTATAAATGTAATACATCTACCTCAGTACTTAGGCATATGAGCAAAGATCAAATGTAATAATTTCATTATAGCGCTGCCTATAATTGCAAAAACCTGGAAATGACCTAATATTTATCATTTGTGAATGTTTAAATGCATTATGGAATAATTCAATAATAATGATTTTTACTATGCAGCCAAAAAAACCACCACAAAAACAAACAGATTTCATGAGCTAATGTGGTAGCTATTGGTTTTTAAAAAGGGGTGGGGAGGGGAATGAGCAATAAAAGAAAGATATTTCCATTATACTATTTTTTTTTAAAGTAGACACAAAGGCTTATATTGTTATGTGCTGTGCTGTGGAGTCGGTTCCAACTCATAGCGACCCTGCACAGAGTTTCCGATGCTGTTAATTTTTACGGGAGCAGAACGCCTCATCTTTCTCCCGCAGAGCAGCTGGTAGTTAGTTTCTAACTGCTGACCTTGCGGTTCGTATCCCAATTCGTAACCACTACGCTACTCTATGTGTAGAGTAATTATGGAAAAAGATATAAGAAATTGATAGCAGTAGTTGCATTTGGACAGTTAGAGTCATATTGTTGTTGTTAAGTGTTGCCATTAAGTAGGTTCCAACTTATATCGACCCTTTATGAGGTTTCTGAAGAGCAGCTGGTGGATTTGAACAGCTAAACTTGTGGTTAGAAATCCAGTGCTTATCTTACAGTGCCATACCAGAGAGATACTATTTTTTAATTTTTGACTCATTTAATTTTTTATTCTTCACTAATTGAGATTTTTATGACTATTATTTTCTGCTTTCCTTGTATTTACCCTTTTATTTTTCCTTGAACTTTTTAATGGATTAAAAGCTAATTTTCCCCTATGACCACTTCAGTTGTATCCTATTGATATGTGTAAACCTCCCAGAGGGAGGTTAAAATTTGAACCAGACCACAAGGTCAGTTTGAATCACCAGATCGGTGGTTCAGACTCACCAGTCACTCCTTGGAAGCGCTATACAGGGTTACTATGAGTCAGAACTGACTCGACAGCATGTAACAATAACATATGATAATGCAAAAACAACATGTATAATATACTACCCTGTGGCTCCCACCTCTTTTCTTCTCCCTTTCTAAGTACTGTGAGAAGATTGATTCTAATGGTGTGGATCACACCAGGGCACACCTAAGAGATGTTTCTGTTATCTACTTAAGCCAGGTAGCCTGCTATTAGAGGCTCCATGAGAAGGACTGACATAGCGTCTCCATGTTTGGCTGATCTTGGAAGTTAGCCTTTGAATTATTTATTTCTGGGAATTTGTATTTCATTCATTGACAAAGCACCTCCTGAATACCTTAACTTAACTTCTTAGTGCTCTGGACTATATAATGACTATAAATGTCAATCTTGAGCAAAAGCACCAAGAAAGTACTAGACCTAATGTCAACTTTTTCTTTTACCTCATGTGTTAACATTATGTATTATTTTGAGATATGACTTAGACCGCCAACTGCAAGGTCAACAATTCAAATCTCTCAGCTGCTCCACGGGATAGAGATGAGATTTTTCTGCTCCCATAAGAGTTTACAGCCTGGGAAAACCTATCCAGGGTCGCACTGATTTGGAAATGACTCCACAGCACACAACCACCATCAACCATGAATCTTCAGCCAACACATCAAGAAAGTGCTAGGCTAAATGTCAGCTTTTTCTTTTGCCTCATATGTTGTATTACCTTCTCCTACTCCTCATTATATAGAACCAAATTTACTCTACCAAGTTAGATAAGGAAGCCATAGTTTATAATGATCTTAAATTGCACTCTGAATCTGAAAGAATTTCATAGCAACATGCATCAGATGCAAATGTATTATTTCTAGTGTGTGGCTAGATCTCTAGTGCCAAAAAAATTCTGAAGATTGTAGCTGATCAGAATGTAATAAATCTCAATTTATCTAGAATAAAATAAGGTTAATAGGTTTTTTGTTGAATTTTAGTATCTTTTTCTAAAATACAAAAATAAAAGAATTATTTAATGGATTGTAAAATATAAATATGCTGTGTTATATAGTTTTTTTGTTGTTATTTTTTCCCAACAGGATTCTTGGGATGGCCAACATATTCCAGTACTTTTCTCCGTTTTTTGTGGTTTGTTAGTAGCAGTATCATATCATCTCAGCCGACAAAGTAGTGATCCATCTGTACTTTTGTAAGTGAAATCAATTATATTACTGAATCAAAATTTATTTCAAATTTAATTTCTAAGATTTTTCTCCCCATTGCTTTCTAGTTAGCCTAATAATTCTTTAGTGGTGTTGTTAACTGCTGTTGAGTCGGTTCCAACTCATAGTGACCTTATATTTGATTTCCACAGAACAGCTGATGGATTTGAACCACCCACCTTGCATTTAGCAGTCCAGTACCTTAACCTGCAGTACCATACTAGGACTCAAAATCATGTATTAGGTTTTAAAATGTATTAATTTTGGGTGGTTCAAACCATGTTAAGAGAGGGTATTTGTCAGTGTTTTCCATTTCATATATTTTGTAGGAATGTTTTCATTATGTGCTACTTTATGGCATCTTAAACTCTTTGGAATATGTACTTTGCCAATGATTAAATATAATTTTTTTAACCAAAATTTTTATTTGCTATTTCATGTTCTAGGAGAACTGGTATGGTGGTGTAGGATAAGCACCAGAAGGTTGGTTGTTAACCAACCTGAAGGTTGGTTGTTCAAACTTACCAACCGCTGCTTGGAAACCCTATACTGTGTCGCTATAAGTTAGAACCAACTTGACAGCACTTAACAGCAACAATATTTGATGTTCTAAATGTATTAAATTTATATTTTATTAATTTTTGCTCTTTTATTTTCAATCTAAAGCTCTTTGGTGCAATCAAAGATTTTTCCAAAAACGGAAGAGAAAAATCCTGAAGATCCCCTGTCTGAAGTAAAAGATCCATTGCCTGAAAAACTTAGAAATTCTGTTGTAAGTTTTAGCCTTTTAAAAATTGCCTAAAATGTAAATTTTAGAAAGTTGATCATGTTATATAATGAATGGCTTTTGAAAGTCTTAATTGAGGAAAACATGTGATCACATTGAGTTGGATTGGATATATGTTGTTGATTACCTTTATTTAAAATTTTGACGTGTAAAATAATGCTTATTTCTCAAATTTGGCTTTTACATAAAACAGTATACTCACATTCACTTTAGGCTAGATAAAAATAAGTAAATAATTCCATTGTTCATAGAATGTAGAGTGTTGTGTTTTATAAATTTAAGTTAGGATCTAAAATTGGGCTGATTGGGTCACTATGGGTTGGAACCAACTTGATAGCACTTAACAACAACACTGATAAAAGTTATGTCCTTATGAGTCATAATTTTGATGGACTTGCACTTACTTTTCAGAAATTCTGAGAGGTACAAAACTGCATAAAGGCATAGTGTAAACATTTCTTTGGATTGAGTTCATGTTAACAATGGCTGTTTAATGATGCTGTTGTTGTTAGTGCCATCTAGTGGGTTCTAATTCATAGAGACCATGTGTAAGGCTTCTGAGGTGGGCTTGAATAATAATTATAGTAAAATATTCTAAATCTAGTTTTTTTGTTTGTTTTTGTTTTTATGCCATTTCTCCCACATATATTGCACTGGCATACTTCTAGGAAGATTTATCTGAGCTTGCTTTAGAATCTTTACTGAGGCATTATGGGTCTGAATCTACTTTATAAGCGTACATTAGCATGTCAATTGGTGCTCTAACAAAGATAAGTGTTGTTGCTTTTGTCCTTAAAGTGCCTTCAAGTCAGTTCCACTTTGAGAGACTGTATATGGTGGTTTCAGAAGTTATAAATCTTTGTGGGAGCAGAAAGTCTTATCTTTCTTCTGTAGAGCAGCAGTTGGACTTGTGTTTCCCAGTCCAGTGCTTATCCTACAGAAACACCACACTCCCCCAAGATACAATGTTGTTGTTGTTGTTGTTAAGTGCCATTGAGTTAATTCTGACACATAGCAACCCTGTGTAGTTTCTGAGGAACAGCTGGTGGGTTTGAACTGCCAACCTTGTGCTTTGAAGTCCAGTGCTGATCTTGCAACACCACACTAGGAATCCAGTATAACAATCGTTGTTGGAATCCAGTATAACAATCGTTGTTGTTATGTGCCGTGGAATCGGTTCCAACTCCTAGCGACTCTATATAGGGTTTCCAAGGTTATAAATCTTTACGGGAGCTAAAGCTTCATCTTTCTCCTGTGCAACTGCTGGTAGTTTTGAACTGCTGACTGTGAGATTAGCAGCCGATTCGTAACCACTACGCTACCAGAGCTCCTTAAGATAACAATAGGCTCCTGGTTTTTTTTCTTTTACAACAGCTTTTAGAGAACCAAAATATAGGAAGTAAAATAGAATATTTGTATGCATGCATAGTTTCAAAAGACCAATGACAATATAATTTTGTTATCCAAGGGAATAGCCCACTGCCACCTTCTTTGAGTCGATTTAAACTCAGAGCAACTCTCCAGGACAAAGTAGAATTGCTCCTTAGCTTCCAAGATTAAATTTTTATGGTAGCACTCTAAAAATGTTAACAGTATTTTTAAGACCTCATTTCGTTTTCTCATGTGTACAAGTAAAACTTACAAACCAATGGAAGACAATTTAAAAGACTTTGTTACAATCCCTTATATAGCATGTAGAGCTTAATAAGTTGTTGGGTTTCATTGACAATAGTTTCAAAACAAAATATAAGGAAATTGAATAGTAAGAAAGTAAGATGTAAGATTTATTATAGCTAATTATTATATATATAAACATTTCTAGAAATGCTAAAGGGTGTGGTGTTAGAGACCATCGAGTGGAATCTGACTCATGGAAACCCTGCGTAGGGTTACTGAGACTGTAAATCTTTACAGAAGCAGGAAACCTCTTTCTCATGATTAGTGGCTGGTGGATTTGAACTGTTGACTATGCAGTTGGCAGCCCAGTGCATAACCCACTATGCTACCAGGGCCCCTTGCTAAAGAGTATAGATGAAAAAAAATCTTTCCTTAAACTTTTTCAGTTGGGAATAAACTATTTTTTAAATTTCTGTAATTGGTTAATTGATTTATGTAGTTGATTTGTTTTGTTCCACAGAGTGAACGCTTACAGTCTGACCTAGTGGTCTGCATTGTAATCGGTGTGCTGTATTTTGCTATTCATGTAAGCACAGTATTCACAGTTTTGCAGGTAAGGGGTCATTTTTTTTTGTTCTTTTAATTGGGACAAACTAACTATTTGGATTCGTTTTTTATTTGAATGTAATGTTTCTTTCTGCTGTTAATGACTTTTGTTTGATTTTAATAATAAACATTTATTTTCTCAGAGATTTTTTGGTCCATAAATCTGGGATGGTTTACTGGATGTTTCTATGATCACCTAGGGCTGTCTGACTGTAGGCATCATTCTTTTTTGACAACTTTCCAGAGACCTCAGTTCTTCTCTGCATGATCCTACCACATCAACTACCTGAGTGTCCTCCTAAATTGGCATCTAGTTTTCCCCGGAACAAGTGATTCTAGAGAGTTATTGTTACTAGATGCCATCGAATCAGTACCGACTCATAGCGACCTTATGTCTGACAAAATGAAACACTTCTCGATCCTGTGCCAACCTCACAATTGCTGCTACACCTGAGCCCATTGATGCTGACACTGTGTCAATCCATCTTTTGGGGAGCTTCCTCTTTTTTTTTACGACCCTCCACTTTACCAAGAATGATGTCCTTCTCCAGGTCTGGTCTCTCCTGACTTCCAAGGAGTGTTCTGGTTGTTTCTTCCAACACAGATATGTTTATTCTTTTGGCATTATGATGTTTTTAATATTCTCCTCCCAACACCATAACTCAAATGTATCAATTCTTCTACAGTCTTCCTTATTTACTATCCAACTTGCTTATTGGCATGGCTTGAGTCAGGTGCGCCTTAGTCGTCAAACTGACATCTTTGCTCTTGAACACTTTAAAGAGGTCTTGTGCAGCAGATTTGCCAAATGCAATACATCATTTGATTTCTTGACTGCAGTTTCCATGAAAGTTGATGGTTGATCTGAGCAAAATGAAGTCTGACAATTTCAATCTTTTCTCCATCTATTTTAAAGTTATTTATTGGTCCAGTGGTGAGGATTTTTGTTGTCTTTATGTTGAGGTGCAACCAGTGCTGAAGGCTATGGTCTTTGATCTTTATCAGCAAGTATTTTAAGTCCTCTTCACCTTCAGTAAGCAAGGTTGTATCATCTGCTTATCACAAGTTGCTTCATCTACATATTGCAGGTTGTTGATGAGTGTTCCTTCAGTCTTGATGGCATGTTCTTCTTCATATAATCCAGCTTCTCAGATTATTTGTTCAACGTACAGATTGAATAAGTATAGTGAAAGACTACAACCCTGGCTCACATCTTTCCTAATTTTAAACTTGTTCTGTTCGAGTAACTGCCTCTTGGTCTACGTACAGATTCCTCATGAATACAGTTAAATGTTCTGGAATACTCATTCTCCACAATGTAGTCCATAGCTTGTCATGATCCACACAATCAAAAGCTTTTTCATAATCAGTAAAGCACAGATAAACATCTTTCTGATATTCTCTGCATTTAGCCAAGATCCATCTGACGTCAGCAGTGATCTATCCCTAGTTTCACATCCTCGTCTTAATACAGCTTGAACCTGTGGCAATTTCCTGTCAATGTATTGTTGCAGCCATTTTAAATTATCTTTAACAAAATACTACTTGGCATGTAAATATTAATGATATTGTCCAATGATTTCTGCATTCCATTTGATCACCTCTCTTTGGAATGGGGACAAATACGGATGTTTCCCAATCAGTTGGCCAGGTAGCTGTGTTCCAGATTTCTTGGCATAGATGAGTGACTGCTTCCAGTGATCCATCAGTTTGTTGAAATATTTCAGTTTGTATTCCATCAGTCCTAGAGATAGTGAGCACAGTATTGAAGCCACAGTCTTTAATAACCTGATATGGGAAGCAGTAGACTACCACCTCTTCAGTATTCTGTTGGTCACAAACACAACCCTGGTATAATGTACAAATGGGTGTAAATGACACAAAAAGAGGCATGTATCAGTGGGGGACATTTTACAGACTGACTACCACCGTACCATCAGAAACCCCACAGATTCTCATCTCCTCCATGGAAGTCTAGAATATTGTCATCTGAGTCAGTTCCAGGTAAGAGTGAAGCTCTCCATGTGCTGTTTTTGAGTAGTATGGTTCTTCTCATTTGTAGTTCATGTAACTGCCATTTCCAGTATTCATCATCCCATTGCTGCATAATTCCCTATTTCTATATGGTGTCATTTTCCTTCTGTATTAAAGATTTCCTGTAACTTTTCTTATCATGGCAGTTGAAAAATTGTTTCAGCCTCTGTATTTCTGGAAAAGCCTCTATTTCCTCATTTTTTAAAAATGTTTTATTGTGAATTATGTGATACTTCACATGGGAGAACATTAGTTTTACATTCATCCTATCGTATATCGTTACATTGCCGTATATCGTTACATTGCCATCGTTACAATTCCCTCCATTTATCATCAGCCAGCCTCAGGGTATACCCCGCAAGCCTGCCCCCTGGTCATCAGCACACAGCCCCTCTCCCTTTCTGGGTCTAGAGTCCTCAGCCACACCGTTTCTCCAAGTCATCATCTCTGCCTCCATCTCTGACATCAGTGTTTCTCTGGGTAGGGTCCTGCTCTCCGCTCTTCTCCCTTGATGGTCCCAGGGACCTCCGCTCCTGGACTGTAAGGTCAACCACTCTTCTCCTTTAGCTACAAAACATCTACCTTTACATTTCCAACTCTCACAGTCAGTCCTGATAACAATTATTCACTATTGTATCACAAGAGACCTATCCCCATCTCCTTTCATCAGTCCCGCCTAGACAGATTGGATACTACTTACTGGAGAGTCTACCTTCCTCTGCGCCCTCTGGATCTAGGTTCCCTCTTGAAAGGTTATAAGCCAGTCACTTCTTGCCTTTGTAGCCCCTGCATTTTAGGTAGCCAGTGTCCAAGTTGCCCACCCTGTGTACTCTGTGTATCAAGGGGGCGGGAATGATCCTTGCTATAAAGATTTGTTCCCTCTTTTGAGCTACTGCATCCATAAGTATAGATCAAGGTCATCAAATTGTATCAGGTTACTCTTTTTTTTCCTCTTCTGGTTGAGCTCTGATCATCTAATTATTGAAGCCTGGTCAAGTGGGTATTATCTGCAAGTGTGGGTGTTCTTGTGCGTATACCCTCTCTTCTTATCAGCTGGATGCTTCACTCTCTACTCTAGTCCTTAGTGGCTATGTCACTGACTCTGGGGCCAAGAGTCCCCAGGTCTTGCCATACTGCTGGCCAACCAGCTCTACACCTGGGTTCACAAGAGTCTATTGAACGTTGTAGGGCTTAGCTTGCAGCTTCATAGCTGTTTTTCCCTCACTTCCCCAGTCAGAGCACATGTCAACTCATGTATTCCCATTGAATCTTAGTCTTGGATGGGGGTTTGCCCTGAGGAGACCCAACCACTTGTCTTGATGTCTCCTGGGCAAGTTGCAGTAGTCAGTCGGACTGCCGTTATTGTTTTATATTTTTCCTGTAGGTCTTCTTTCAAGAAGTATCTTCTGTTCTTCTAGCCATTCCAGGCTGGTCTGCTTGTCCTTTCAAGTGGAAATTTCCCACCTCAGAATATTCTGGATGGAGTTCAGGATTCCATCTATGGTCTTATGCAAAGCAGAGGCTCCACAGGAAGACTGCTTCATTGGGCAAGTTGTAGCCCATTTTAGGTATTCCAGTCATTTACAGGCACAAGCTTTCTATTGTGATATTTCTGGCTATTCCTTTCTCTCCCCATCACGTGTCTATTTTATTATGGTATTCAAGGGAAACCAAGATTCAAAACACAGCGAAGCATCGTAACATTATTTCCCCCATTTTGCCCATTGCAACTATGCCTCAATCCCTTTATCCCAGAGCCCTGTTGTTCCAAGGTTGTACATACATCATTATTTACCTCTGTCCCACGTAGGCCTTGCAAACCTGCCTAATTGTTCTCCCATCCACCTTGTTCTTCCATTCCCCTCCACCTTCTTTTGTGTGGCTCCCCTCCCCAGCACCCAAACTATCCTGTGTCTGTTCCCTACCCTGTGCGCCACCTTCCCCTCCCTCCCCTCACCCCATTCGCCCGTATACCAGTAACCAACAAAGAACTGCTCCCCCCTTTAGTATGGGTTTTTTTTCTTAGTCTTTTACAATAATGATCCTATGCAATATTTCTCCTTTTGTGACTGATTAATTTTACTCAGCATAATGTCCTCAAGGTTCATCCATGTTATGTGGTGGCTTGCAGCTTCCTTGTTATTCGTCAAGGTAGCATAATATTCCATTGTGTGTATGTACCACAGTTTGTTTATCCATTTTTCAGTTGATGGGCACTTAGGCTGTCTCCATCTTTTTGCTATTGTAAATAGTGCTGCTGTGAATATTGGTCTGCATATATCTACTTGTGTTATCGCTCCTATTTCTTGTGGGTAAATACCAAGTAGAGGAATTCCTGCATCTTAAGCTATTTCTATTTCCAACCTTCTGAGGAAGCGCCATATTGCTTTCCAGGGTAGTCGGACCATTTTTCAATCCCACCAGCAATGCAGGAGCGTGCCAGTCTCCACATCTTCGCCAGCATTTATTGTCCTCTACTTTTTTGATTTTTGCTGTTATTGCTGGTATGAGATGATAGCTCATTGTTATTTTGCTTTGCATCTCTCTAATGGCTAGTGATCGTGAACATTTCTTCATATGTTTGTTGGCTGCCTGG